GAAAAGACGACACCTTGATTTTCCTCAGACCGGTGGAGATTAGTGTCCACCTCCCTGACACACTTGAAGGACACGGTCCCTGCCATGGATCCTGTGGCTCCCAAGTGGTGGAACACAGAGGACACACTCCAGTCCTGACGTTACTTCTGTGAAGGATTTGTCATTGCTGCTGTCTCCTTTCTCTTCTGTTTTATTTTTTAGTTTTTTATTACAAAAATTTAAAAACAAATCTAGAACTAGACTGATGTCAGCCATCCAGCTTCACTCACTGTTGGTGTCTGGCCATCACTCTTCTGCAGCCACGAGCGCCCCAACTGCTGGCTGCTCACTCTGAAGCAAATCACTGACATTATGGAATTTCTTCTGTAAATATTTCCATATGCATCCCTAGACAGTAACACCACTCAGCGTGATCATAGGATCACAATCACACCTAAAAGTCATAATTCGTGAATCACATCAATACACCGTCATATTCTCCTTTCCTTGACAGTTTTTGAGATCTTTTTCAATGGGTGATTGTCTGCATCAAGACCTACAGAAGATCCGTAAGATCTGTATTTTGAGTCGGTTCAAATGTCTCAAGTTGTGTTTTGTTTCATTTTGTTTTGATACATAGCTTCCGCTTCCATTTCTTTTTTTTGACCTTGAAAAAAATGTTTTGGTTTTGTTGCAGAAATGAAATCAATCGTCCTTTAGCTGGGGTTCCCAACCCCTGAGCCATAGGAACCGAGCTACACAGTGGGAGGTGAATGGCAAGCCAGCAAAGCTTCATCTGTATTTACAGCTGTTCCCCATCTCTTGCATTACTGCCCGAGCTCAGCCTTCTGTCAGATCAGCAGCGACATTAGATTCTCACAGGAGTATGAACCCTGTTGTGAACTGCACATGCATAGGATCTAGGTTGTGGCTCCTTGCAAGAGTCTGATGCCTGATGATCTGAGGTGAGCTGAGGCAGTGATGCTACTGCTGGGGAGTGTCTGCAAACACAGATTAACATGAGCAGTGAGGTTTGACTGCACAGAGACCCACAACAAATCAATTGCTTGCAGACTCATATCAAAACCCTATCAGCGAGTGGCAAGTGAGCTGATATACCTCAATTGTATAGATGCATCTGTTAGCAGGCTTTAGGTCAGAGTCCAGCACTTATTTTAGTCCGTGTATGGCCTGCCCGTTATTTTATTTACGATTTCCATCAGCGCCTCTTTTATTTAATGGAGAGTTGAATAATTATTTCATTATATATTACAATGTAAATAATAATAGAAATAAAGTGCACAATAAACGTTACTTGCTTGAATCATCCCAAAAGTATTCCCCCCATCCACTGTCCATGGAAAAAACTGTCTTCTACCAACTGGTCCCTGATGCCAAAATGGTTGGGGACTGCTGTCCTATAGACTTCCCACAGTCTGGACTTGGCCAACTGTACCCCTGCAATGTTTTTTTTTTTAACATTTTTCTCTTGTATCTTCTATTGCCACTAAATTCGGTGACCTGTAGGATTGGGAAGATTCAGATTTGATTTAAGAGTAAGCTTACTCCAAAGGTGGTGTGGTCTATTTCCATAATTATGAGAGTTGTTTCTTTCCTTATGATATTATCAGCAATAATCATTGCTTACAACACAATGTTTGCAGAATGATGATATTCAAATTCTAATATATCTTATTTCTATATTATCTGAAATACTCCTATAAAGACGAACTTCCTCTCATCAACTATTTAGCAACCTGGAAGTACAAATCATATAGAAAAGACAGAATAAATGTCCAAATCTTTCCTCTACTTACTGGTTCTCAAAATAATGATTGCCTAGTGTTCTCCACAGGTGACCAATGAGGGTTTTTATCTGTTTTCTTCAGTATATCATAAACTCAAGAGACTATTAGCCTCATTGATGCCAGCAGAAATTTAACTTGACTTCTAAGTCCTTTGACAAAAACTTTACAGTGTTTGTTAGCATCCTTGCTTTGTGCTATAACAAAATAGTCTCAGTTCATTTTACACATCATTTTACATTTCCTGCTCTAGACCTAGAATTGGTAATTTCTTCTGGGATTCTTGGTTTCTTTTAGTGGAACTTGTATTTAGAGAGCATACTCTGGGCACCAGAAATATCACTGCTCTTGGACTGGTCACTGTTTCTAGGTCTTTTTAGTAGACAAAGAGATGAATGTGTATTCTTTTTGATTGAAAGATAATATACACTATGAATTCTTACAGATACTTCCAACTAAAATTCAGGACCACTGCAGAATTGCTGCTTAACTTCATGCATCTGTATCTCATTTCAACCAAGCTGAGAATCTCAGTTCTCAATGATACCAACATAGCCATTTAATTTATGTCATGGTACAAACACAGTGTCAGATTAGCAGTAATAATAAAATGAACAGCAATATTAGTACTAGAATTAATTCAAGTTATTTTGTAGTTTTAAAAAAATCCTTAAAACATATCCCTTTATGAATGTATTCTCAATATACAGAGTTTTAAAGTCACTTTGAATCATTCCTTACTGTAAGGTTTTGTCACCATTTTGAACCACATTAAGGTTGATTCATTCTACTTTAAATTTTGGGGGGAGCTTATTTTAAATTTTATTTTATTTTGCTTTATAACTCTTTAAAATATTTTCATGACTCCAAAATCAAATGCACAAGCAAGGGATATGCAAAGTAGTCTGACTATCATCTTTGTTTCTTTCAGCCTCCTTCCTCCCTATAAGCAACTTTATTTTGTGGTTTATCCTTTCGGCTTTTAAATATGTATACATGTAATTCTAAACAAATATACCTCTTGCACATCTCTCCGCCTTGATCATTTAAAAACATGTCCTAGAGTTCAGTCCCTGCAGTTCCCATCTTTCCCATTCATCCCAGAGTAGGAGCATGCCCCTGGGTGGAGGCAGCAACCTTTGGACTCCCCAAGGCCTGAATATGACTTATGAGCCATATTCAGATTTTGCTATTCAAGTGATCTTTTGATGAACATCCTTCCTCATATGAAGTCCGACAGTTAAGTTCATAAACTCATCCTAGAAAAAGTGCTTCATACCTCATTGCTGAATATCATTACGGTCACCTTTGAAGGACTCCCCTTGGGAAGCCATGCACCGACACCAGCGCCTAGTCCATTCATCAAAGCAATTTTCGAACTTTTTCTGGAATGGCCATCAGAGCCATCATCATATTTCCCTTGATGTCCTAAATGTCATCAAATGTCTTCTTTCAATATTTCCTTTATCCTCGGGTAAAAAAAAAAGGTCACTGTGGGCCAGATCAGGTGAGGAAGGAGGGTGTTTCAATACAGTTATTTGTACAGTGCTGCCAATGTAAGCATATGGTGGCAAGTTCGTGGACTTAATTATCAGACCTCAATAAATAATGACGATGGCTCTGATGGCCATTTCAGAAAAAGTGCTCCAAAATTACTTTGACGGGTGGACTAGGTGCTGGTGTTGGAGAACTTTGAAGGTGACAGAAGTGATACTTAGCAGTGAGGTATGGAGCAATGAGGTATCAACCTATGCTAGGATGATTCACAAACCTAATGGTCGGACGTCGTAGGTCTCTTTCTTATTTTTGCTGGCATACTTTGGCATAGATTCCTAGAAGTGGAAATTGCTCTGCTGCAGCTTGTGTTATTTTTAAATAGTGCCACATTCCCCCCACAGGGCTGGGCCATGTTGCACTTCCAGACACTGGATGGGAGTGCCTGGTTTCTCTCAGCCTCATCAAGAGCATGTTTTGGAACTTGGGTTCTTGACAATCTAGTAGTTGAAAACAGGTTTCTCAGCTTGGCTTTTGTTTGTGTTTCTCTATAAGTGAGGCTATGCATCTTTTACTCAGTTAAGAGTCCATTTTGTCCTCTTGACATGGTCCTCTCCACTAATACCTATGAGCACACCAGAACTCGAATTTGTCTTCTCCTTGGGTTACTTTTTAGTCTCCTCTTTTGGCTCAGTTTCTCCTGTTTATTCCTAAGTATTCTTCTTCCTCTACACTGAGGCTTCGTGTTTCTGCTAAAACTCCCTCTTTTGACTGTGACTATCGTGGCTATCCCGGCTGCTACTAAGCGCACACCTGATCTTAGAGCTCTCTCTCCTTTGCCCCATGTCAAACTGCCCCAGGGTCCTGATGTGCCTCCTGGGCATGTCAACTCGCCCCACATGCCCACATGAAACTCGCCCCACATACCCTTACTCTGGTGTTGACCATGGCAGTGATGCTACCGCAACTCGCTGGCTATCCAGGGAGTAAACAGGGGTTCTCTGTGGTGATCCCTTCTCCCGCCTTCCTCCATCAAATGTCACCCATTTCTGTGTCTTTGCCCTCCTAGGTGGTTCTCAAGTCCATTGCCTTCTTTCCACCCCAGATTCCTGGGCTTACCCTGTCATTTCTTCCCTAGATCACTGTCCCTTCCTTCCAAGTGGTCCTTGCTTTCCTTCTTGCTCCCAAACATGGTCAGAATTACCTCTTAAAACACAAATAACACAGGGCCATTTAACAGTTTAAAAACCTCCAACAACACACACACCCACACACAAAACCATGAGTCAATCAAGCAAACCAACACAAGGATTGCCCAAGTCCCCAAACATGCATTTCCACAGGTACATCTGTAAGCAAATGCTACCATGCTCTGGGAGACCAACAGTAAACCACCAAGAGAGGCTACCGCCAGGGAGGGGACTGAGGTGTGGGCCACCAGGGCTGTGTGGGTGGAGTGAATATCATGGAAGGGCTTCAGCTTTATTACTATTTGAATGGTGCAGATTTTGTATTTAATGCATTCAAGTATTACTCACATTTTTAAAAATAAGCAAAATGGGCGGTGAAGGTAAGCATCAGCTCCAAGGTAGAAGCGTCAATCACCGGGGCTGGGTGACCTGGAGAGGCTTCAGGGCAGCAGGTCCCCACACTTCTCTGGGGATGGGACACACCCACTTCCTTCATACCTTACCTGAGGGATTCTCTCCCAGATGCTCTTACCTTCGTGGTCCACAGTTTGACCGTCCAGTCAAAGGATGACGTGACAAACAGGTGTGAAAAGTCGATTGGGCCCACGGCCATGTGGCAGTTGATCCCTGTCACCGGACCCTGGTGACCTTCAAAGACTTCGCCGATGCCGGCTTTGCTGCATGGAATGTACATGGGAGAGAATGCCAGTGACCTCCACAAAGCTGTGACTGCTTTGAAAAAACAAACGTGGCCCCCTGATTACTTCTCCACGACTTACAGTAACAACCATGTGCCACCAAACAAAACCCTTTTCCCAGTTATGGGAAGAAATTGCTTGCCTACATGCTATACTAGTTTGGGTGATTTAAGAACCAATGTGGGGCAACTCAATTTTTTTAATATTCAGAATTTAATATCCAATTTTATCATATAATCCTTCCCAGGAATTCCTCAAATTCTATCACTGTTGATATAGCTGTTTTGTTTTGAGACAGGTTTCATGTTCTTGTCCAGTCTGGAGTTCAGTGGTGTGATCATGGCTCACAGCCTTGAAACCCTGGGCTCATGTGATCCTCCTGCCTCAGCCTTCTGAGAAGCTGGAACTACAGGCATGTGCCACCATACCTGGCTAATTTTTCTATTTTTTGTACAGATGAGGTCTTGCTATGTTGCCCAGGCTGGTCTTGAACTCTTAGGTCCAAGCAATCCTCCCTCCTCGGCCTCCCAAAGTGTTATGAGTACAGGTATGAGCCACCGTGCCAGGGTGATGCAGCTATTTTTGATGGAAACAAACCCAGAACTCAGAAGTTGTCCTATTTATAACAAGACTGTTACATTCCTGATGTGGCATTTTGCACATGCTTGCTTGAACTTCTTTCGAAGAGCCTGTTGGTTGTAAAACCCTATGCATTCATTCCATAAGGGCAGACACCTCAATTTTCTTGTGGCCAAGTGTTGAGCATACAGTAAGTGCTCAATAAGTATTCATTGAATGAAACAGCAAACAAAAAGAGACAAACTGATGTCTGCTGGCTTTTTGGGAAATAATGATACACATTGGAAAATTTACCCACAGACATATTTCACCTATTTAAGCAAACTAGGGTTATTTGCAGACCCCCTCTTATCGCATAATATTCCATATTCAATTGCAGGCAGTTAGGAAAATGGGAGAAAATAGAACCCAAATGCTATATGTTAAAAATTCATGTGTACGAGGTCATAAATATGACAAATATGTAGGGATTGTGGAGTCTTAATATTATGTCACTAAGAGTAACAATGAATTTGGTTATTAAAACATCTGGGCCTCTGGTGCACCAATAAATGTCCGTGTGCTGAGCAGAATTTGGAATCATGAGCAAAGTGCTGCTGTGTGGGTCCCTGTAACAGGCCCTTGGAAATTATGCCCAGGATATGCTAATAGCCACTCCATGCAGGATCATCTAAAATGTGTTCTAATGAACCCAGGGAGCTGACCTTTGAAGTGGCCCCTGGTGAGACTCCACTGACTCTTAACAGCAAACTGAAAGGGTTTATAGGGTGCAGCATGAGGCCCTTGTTGAGTTTATGAAGTGGATTTGCACCTTCTCTACGTTAGGTGAAAAGCAGTAACCCCCACTCCCCCAACGACCTCCATGACCTATTTACAATGACTACAAAGCCCACCTGCTACATCACGACCTCACCAGGGACCGTATTTCACATCAGAGGGATGGACCAGGGGAGAAGGCAAATTAAGCTTGTTGGAGATTTGTGGAGTGTGCCTCAGGGACCTTTCTGCTGGTATGAAAGGGACAACAGCCACAGGGCAGAAATATCCCTGATGCAGAAGGTTGCACATATGAGACAAGCTCAAATCTGAGACACATGCAGAAGCATGTCCGTGGCTTTTGCGGGTCATCAAGGACTGAGATAATGCCCTGGGTGAGGTCAGCCGAGCCCGTGCCCTAGTGACTGGGCACATGTGGATAATTCCGTGGCTCCCTGTCAAGCCCTCAGCCTTCTTTGTGCCCCTGTGCCATGGATGACATTGGCCTTGTGTTCCTGTCTCCCACTGTCATCAGTCCCCTGAAGGCAGGACCGGGGATGAACAACGTCTGAGGCCTCACTGCATCTAGCAGTGCACTTGGCTCAAGGTAGGAGCACGGTAGGTGTATAGAGGATAAGTAACTTTATCGGATCTTTCTACACTGGTGAGACTTTAATGTGGGGTTTTAGCTAGACTTTCTGAAGGAGGGATGCTGGGCATGGACTTGTAAGGCCTGTCTTCCTAAGTCACCTTTGAGTCACCAGCAGGGCAGGTGTAGCTTTGTTTCCAGGTACAGAATGGCAGAAAGAGCACAGCTAGTATTGTTTAGTGGAAAAGACACACAGCTGAGCTGGGGTGCTTGCTACTTCCACAGTTCACAAAAACACAGGACTAGGAACTTCTCAGAACAATTTGTGGCTCCTTGGTAAATGTTGACAGTTGAGGATGAGGGCACGAGATGAGAAAATCAGTTGAACAAGAACTACCAAAGGCAAAGAGAAACTAAGCACATGCACACACGTGCACACACATGCATGTCTTTGGAAAGGCTCACTGTGTCCACGAGGGTGCTTAGTTTCTCTTTGCCTTTGGTAGTTCTTGTTCAACTGTTAAGTTTTGCAAGCAGTTTTCCATCCAGTTCTAATGATCAACTCTGCCTTATCCTGACAGCTAGCTCTATACTCGGGCAGCTGCTCATCTGTCTGTCAAGGTTCTTATCACCTGGAAAGGCACGGTGGTTTGGGTGACTCTGTGCCAGATTCTCTGCCTGGGAGAAAAGGCTTTAATGAACTTCTCTGTATTATCTGGAAACTGTCATTTCTTGGCTCCACATAAAGATGTTTAGCTCATTACTTAATATGTGATAGGCAAAGAATCAAAGATGAAATAGAAATAGTTTGGTAAGAGAAAATTGGCAAAGTGAACAATTGAAGTAAAATGTGATTAATACTGTGGGGAAAGACGCACATGAAGCAGTAAGGCTGCTGATGGCCCATGGCGTGTCCTGTTGGCTCCCTGTTAATCTTCTCCATAGCACCCCTCAAACTAGCCCATTGCATTCTGATGTCCCTTCTCTGGGGACTTTATAAATCTAGCAAACCATTCGAATGTCCCCTCTCAGGGGACATGAAGAACTTGCTGGTGATTATATAGGACAGAAAAATGCCAGCACAAAGTTTTCAAAAATGTATGTTTTCTTGAAGTTTTTTGTTCAAATTGCAGGAAAAAAGTAAATACAGATGGACTCACTATATGCTGAGATATGATCGTTCAGTTGAGAAGTGTTTTTAGGAGTCATGAGTGCGTCCTTCCACATTGTCTTCAAACAACAGACTAGACAATAAATGATCTATTATTAATGTGGGAGGAAGAAAACTAGACTGTGCTGTCTGCATGGATAGAAAAATCACCAGGTGGAAGTCGTCCAACAAATCACTATTGCACATGTATCCGTGAACCTGCTTCCCATATTACCACACGTTAGAAAAATAAGATATAAAATTTTGATTTCTTTGTCATAAATAAATTCCTTTATACCAAAAATTCTATTATAAGCCAAATATCATTACAATAAAAGAATTGAACCCACACCATACTATTTTAAATGAAGAGATTCGTTTTTCATCATTTCATAAAGTGCAGTCAAATGGCCACTGGGTGACCCTAAAGATGTCTCCGAGTGCAAAGAGCTCGACATGTACCAGCGTGTCAGCCTCACCCCAGTTAGATTGTGAGCTCTTGCCCGTCTTGTTCCTCACTGGAGCCATATGGCAGTACTGGAAGTATGGTAGGCTCTTAGGAAACCTTCCTTGAAAGAATGAATGAGTGAAAGGAATGAAAATTCCGTGGGATGTAAAGGAAGGAGTGATTTTCTTTGCCCAAGGGTCAGGAAAAGTTTCCACTTGGAATGGCCTCTATGCTGGCTCTTAAATAATGAAGAATCAGCCAGATGAAGAAGAGAGATATGCTGGGCCTGGCGGAAGAACCGAAAGTACAAACTCAAGGATGCATAAGGCATGAGCCGTGTGCCGGGTGAACTATGCTCAGGGTGAGCTGCGCACAGGTGATTCGTGTGCAAGGCAGGGGATGTCTCTTTGTCTAATCAAGAGAGAGAAGGACCAGGCCCTTTGTGCAGTGGGCCCCTCCTCCCTGTTGTCCATGAAAGCCAGCCTGAGACCTTCAGTCCCTGTGTAGATACGGGAGTCTGCAGGCATGCTGAACTCATAAAAATGACTTGGAGCCCCTGCATGGCTGGTTTTAACCTAAACAAATCCAGGCATCATCCACAAAATGGGCGATTAAACATTCCTAACTAGAAGGTTTGCTCCTATATCTGTAAGCCACGCACGGAGCTTGTGGCCCTGATGGGCACCTGGCTGGAGCCTGCAGATGTGTGGAGGGGTTGGGGCTGGGGAGGGCAGGTGGCCAGGTGGGACATGTCCTGAAGCCTGGCCATTCTCTCTCAAGGCCTGCGATCCACCCAAGACAGACGAATGGCGGACACCAGAGCAGCCATGCTGTCCCTTTCTCCAGAAATGCCTTTCTCTCCAGGCAGGGGGTCATCCCCCAGAATGCGACAAGGGACTCCAGAAACGAGGACTGCATCAGCAGGAAGAAAACAAAAACTCACCTTCCGTGACGGCAGGCTGTATAGACTGTCCCCTCCTCGCTGCCGACCACGAAATTGTTGACATCGCCTGTGGGGAAGGCCATCCCAGTCACGGCAACAGGCTTGGACTTGTTGTACACCAATTCCATGCTCTCCTAGGAAACACATGCGGTCACGTTTGCATCCATTAACTTCTCGCCACACCAAGGACAGCATGGAAAATCACTTGGCTCAATGGTCTGTTTGCTGTTCACACAGCGTTAAAAAAGACCCCGCTGTGCCAGAGACCATGGGGGCTGCCCTGACACCCGGCCCTGGGGGCTCCAGTTTCAGGCCGGCTGGGTTTCATCAACACGTGCTGCCGTGCCTTTCGGCAGGCGGGGATGACAGGTAAGATCTCCGAGAGTAATGGTGCAGAAACCCAGGACAAGGCTATGATGGCCACACTTGGCAGCTCCAGGCTCTAATAAAACACACAGTACCCCCGTATTTACAAACATTTTCAAAATCAATTGTTCGTGAGGAGACTCATGTATTAATATCAGATGTGCTAAGCACATTTGTCAAATCAAGCGTGTGTGTCTTCGACAGACTAAAACCAGAGAGTTGTCACCCAGGTCATAAAAACCAGATTTCAATGGGTACTGGATTTCATGAAGGGAAGCTGCTGGGTGTGCAGGCCATGCACCTGCAAAGACTGATGTTTAAATGCATCGTTAACACACACCACAAGACTCTTATTTTATACAAAATGATTTTTAAGATTAGGAATGAAAGATTTCAAGTTTTAAAAGATACACTGCTGAATTAAGTTAAATGACAGAGGAAAATAATTAATGATAATGTCCAGCCCCTTTTGTGTATATGAAATGATTAAAAAAAAATTTTTTTTTTGAGTCGGGTCTCACTTTGTTGCCGGGACTGGAGTGCTGTGGCATGACCACAGCTACTGTAGCCTCAGCCTGCTGGGTTCAGATGATCCTTCTACCTCAGCCTCCTGAATAACTGGGACTACAGGTGTACACCACCTTGCCTGAGTAATTTTTTTATTTTTAATTTATTATTTTTTTTTTGAGTTGGAGTCTCACTCTGTCGTCCAGACTGGAGTGCAGTGGCCGCTCCCAGCCACCGC